CCGGGGTCCCGGGCGCCCCTCGGCTGGCTGCTGGGCGACGCCGAGGCAGCGCTCCCTCCCCGGCGGGGCCGGAGCCGGAAATCCACAAGACCCGGCGGCGGCGGGCTCTCGATGACTTCAGAGTCGGCTCCGCACGCGCAGGGAGTGGGCTGCCAAGCAGGCCAAGAAAAGATCGGGCTGAGCTGGAGACTCAAATGCCCAAATCTGGACCCAGAACCCCACGGGGTCGCAACGCTCTGGGCAGAAGATTCATTCGCCTCCGTCCACTCCCCTCCCCCTTTCTGCAGCTGTTCTCCTTCTTTTAAAAAGCAGCCAGACTTTCTGCCGGCGTGTGCGTGTGCGTGTGTGTGTGTGTGTGTGTGTGTGTGTAGTTGAATTTGGAGTAGCCACTGTAAAGGGGGAGGTTAACGTAGATGGAATGACCTGTACAACTAAAGTGAATTCTATTCTTGTCTGGGGAAGGGAGACCCAGCGAAGACACTAGCTTTATCTGCGTCCTTTGTTCTGATATCTTTTTGGTGAATCTTCCCAACAGAGGCACCACCTTTGGCCTCCTGGAGAAGCCCCCCACCCCCACCCTGCCAAGGCCCACACCCAGCAGCCCTGAAATAATCTTGGTCCAGTGAATTACCCCACTTCAAAATTGATACTTGCTTCTTGTCCTGAGAGAGTAAATCAACCAGCACCACCACCATCACATAAAACCAAAGTCAACCAACCAAAGCCCAGAAACTTTTCCAACACCCCAAAGGGAAACAGATTTTGCTGGTGTCTCCACGGTGTCTAATGAGAACATGGGTTTAAGATGTGCGCGCGTGTGTGTGTGCGCGCGCGCGCGCGCTCCTTCGTGTTGTTTTCAAACATTAGCGATTTCCTCTAATAGGGAAGAAGAATGAAAGCGGGTTGTTGAGTAGGTAGACTCGGCAAAAGTGAGAGAGCAAAAAAATAGTGAGAAGCGAAGAACTTTTCATTGAGCACAGTTTCAGATGCAGTCAGTTAGTAAAAGGACACACGACTTTTTTTAACTTCACTTTCTTTTATCCACTAATCAAGCTAATTTCATTTTCGGGATCATTATTCACCTTGGCACATTCTTCTTTGCACCTCCCAGCGCTTGGAC